TGCACTAACGACTTACTTCCAAGTAGGAGAAACCAAACCTTCTGTTGTTTTTGTTTATAACTGAGAATATTCAAACTAATGTTAACTTTCAGTCGCAAATTGTGAACATCTGTTTATTTTCTTTAACCCGAAGTGTTTTATAGAGGAGTAGCTTCATTCTATGTGGTTAGAATGAGGAAGCTGCAAGCTGTGGATTTTATCTTAAAAGGTTTTTGAATTGAATTGGCTTCGCTTTTATAAGTTAAATACTAAGTGATCTCAAACTAAGCAGTTGAACTGTACCTATAAACACTTAAACATCTTTGACAAAAAAAAAAAATTTGTGCCTTCCAGCCTCATCAATGCCCTAGATCTAACTAATGTAGATGCTGCGTTACTGTAGTAGTTGTGTCAGTATATAATTTCAGCTGATTAAGATCACTGCCTTAGTCTACGAATCAACAACTGTCCGTTTATTTTCTGCAGCTCTCTTATCTATGCACATTACTACTGATCAGGAACGCACTTTAATATGCTGACGGGAAACAGTTCCAGTTTAATGCTAAAGCACAAGGTTTGGGGGAGATCCACAGTTATTCAGATTGCACTGTTTGCTGTAAATGCTTTGTAAATATTTTTTTTTTATATATGAACCAAAGATGGCATGTGAATGTTAATAGCTGTTATTGAGCAGCTGCTTCAGTTTGGCTTGTTAACCAACTGATATCGAAATGCAAACTTTTGATTTTTACCTATAGAAAACATCACTTTGTGTCAGGTACAGTGATCTTTGAATAAAATCATTTTACATGTTGCCCACTGGTGCTGATTTTCCTTTTTAATCTTCAGCTCATTTAAATAATCTAAATCTCAGGAAATTCAAAGTTCCTGCAATGGATGTGGATCTAGGGTTTCATATTTAAAATGTAATGGACGGAATCAATGCATGCAGTTTTATTGAATTTTGGGGGGTGATCCAGGTTATGTATATATTTGATTCTACAGGTGCTGGTCATAAAATTAGAATATCATGAAAAAGTAGATTGATTTCAGTAGTTCCATTTAAAAAGTGAAACTTGTATATTATATTCATACATTACATACAAACTCATATATTTCAGATGTTTATTTTGTTTAATTTTGATGATTACAAATGACAACAAATGAAAATCTCAAATTCATCATATCAGAAAATTAGAATATTGTGAAAAGGTTCAAAATTGATGGCCCCTGGTGCCACACTCTAATCAGCTAATTAACTCAAACCACCTGCAAAAGCCTTTAAATGGTCTTTCAATCTAGTTCTATAGGCTACACAATCATGGGGAAGACTGCTGACTTGACAGTTGTCCAAAAGACGACCATCGACACCTTGCACAAGGAGGGCAAGACACAAAAGGTCATCGCTAAAGAGGCTGGCTGTTCACAGAGCTCAGTGTCCAAGCACATTAATAGAGAGGCGAAGGGAAGGAAAAGATGTGGTCGAAAAAAGTGTACAAGCAAGAGAGATAACCGCACCCTGGAGAGGATTGTGAAACAAAACCCATTCAAAAATGTGGGGGAGATTCACAAAGAGTGGACTGCAGCTGGAGTGAGTGCTTCAAGAACCACCACACACAGACGTATGAAAGACATGGGTTTCTGCTGTCGCATTCCTTGTGTCAAGCCACTCTTGAACCACAGACAGCGTCAGAAGCGTCTTGCCTGGCCTAAAGAGAAACAGGACTGGACTGCTGGTGAGTGGTCCAAAGTCATGTTCTCTGATGAAAGTAAATTTTGCATTTCCTTTGGAAATCAAGGTCCCAGAGTCTGGAGGAAAAGAAGAGAGGCACTTCATCCACGTTGCTTGAAGTCCAGTGTAAAGTTTCCACAGTCAGTGATGGTTTGGGGTGCCATGTCATCTGCTGGTGTTGGTCCATTGTGTTTTCTGAGGTCCAGGGTCAACGCAGCCACATACCAGGAAGTTTTAGAGCACTTCATGCTTCCTGCAGCTGACCAACTTTTTGGAGATGCAGATTTCATTTTCCAACAGGACTTGGCACCTGCACACAGTGCCAAAGCTACCAGTACCTGGTTGAAGGACCATGGTATCCCTGTTCTTAATTGGCCAGCAAACTCTCCTGACCTTAACCCCATAGAAAATCTATGGGGTATTGTGAAGAAGAAGATGCAATACACCAGACCCAACAATTCAGAAGAGCTAAAAGCCACTATTAGAGCAACCTGGGCTATCATAACACCTGAGCAGTGCCACAGACTGATCGACTCCATGCCACGCCGCATTGCTGCAGTAATACAGGCCAAAGGAGGCCCAACTAAATACTGAGTGCTGTACATGCTCATACTTTTCATGTTCATACTTTTCAGTTGGCCAACATTTCTATAAATCCTTTGTTTTTATTGGTCTTCAGTAATATTCTAATTTTCTGATATGATGAATTTGAGATTTTCATTTGTTGTCATTTGTAATCATCAAAATTAAACAAAATAAACATCTGAAATATATGAGTTTGTATGTAATGTATGAATATAATATACAAGTTTCACTTTTTAAATGGAATTACTGAAATCAATCTACTTTTTCATGATATTCTAATTTTATGACCAGCACCTGTATATTTGAGTGTTTTGGAATAAGTCCCAAAGAGCCACTTTTTGGCATCAGATTTAAATGCATACATCCTTAAAAGCCCAAATAAAGGACAAACATGTCTGAGCTTATTGTACGAATACATCTCCAACCCATCTAACTATTTAATAATTTAACCTAATTTAACCTGCTGCTGCTATCATTTATTTATTTTATATCTGGTATTCCAGCTAATGTGTTTTTGGTAACTGTACATTGGAGTTGCTCTGCTAGCTTGACTTAAAATTCTTTATTTTAAGAGAATTCTATTAAAAGTTCAAGTTTTTTTTTTTCTAAAACCTCCAAGGACACCTCTGAACTTAAACATGAACCAGACACTTTAGTTTGCAATTGATCTTTATTTCCAAACCGAAAAGCTTAAAACAATTCAAATACATGGAGCATTCAAAGGAAATAACACAAGTTGTGTGAAATTTTTGGGAGTTTTTTTTCGTTTTGTTTACTTTTAGAAAGGAAAAGTTGTTACCACAGCTCATATTCTGACTTAACCTAACGTATTTCATCACAGCTGAAGTAAAACTTACAGGTGCTGGTCATAAAATTAGAATATCATGAAAAAGTAGATTGATTTTAGTAATTCCATTTAAAAAGTGAAACTTGTATATTATATTCATACATTACATACAAACTCATATATTTCAGATGTTTATTTTGTTTAATTTTGATGATTACAAATGACAACAAATGAAAATCTCAAATTCATCATATCAGAAAATTAGAATATTGTGAAAAGGTTCAAAATTGATGGCCCCTGGTGCCACACTCTAATCAGCTAATTAACTCAAACCACCTGCAAAAGCCTTTAAATGGTCTTTCAGTCTAGTTCTATAGGCTACACAATCATGGGGAAGACTGCTGACTTGACAGTTGTCCAAAAGACGACCATCGACACCTTGCACAAGGAGGGCAAGACACAAAAGGTCATCGCTAAAGAGGCTGGCTGTTCACAGAGCTCAGTGTCCAAGCACATTAATAGAGAGGCGAAGGGAAGGAAAAGATGTGGTCGAAAAAAGTGTACAAGCAAGAGAGATAACCGCACCCTGGAGAGGATTGTGAAACAAAACCCATTCAAAAATGTGGGGGAGATTCACAAAGAGTGGACTGCAGCTGGAGTGAGTGCTTCAAGAACCACCACACACAGACGTATGAAAGACATGGGTTTCTGCTGTCGCATTCCTTGTGTCAAGCCACTCTTGAACCACAGACAGCGTCAGAAGCGTCTTGCCTGGGCTAAAGAGAAACAGGACTGGACTGCTGGTGAGTGGTCCAAAGTCATGTTCTCTGATGAAAGTAAATTTTGCATTTCCTTTGGAAATCAAGGTCCCAGAGTCTGGAGGAAAAGAAGAGAGGCACTTCATCCACGTTGCTTGAAGTCCAGTGTAAAGTTTCCACAGTCAGTGATGGTTTGGGGTGCCATGTCATCTGCTGGTGTTGGTCCATTGTGTTTTCTGAGGTCCAGGGTCAACGCAGCCACATACCAGGAAGTTTTAGAGCACTTCATGCTTCCTGCAGCTGACCAACTTTTTGGAGATGCAGATTTCATTTTCCAACAGGACTTGGCACCTGCACACAGTGCCAAAGCTACCAGTACCTGGTTGAAGGACCATGGTATCCCTGTTCTTAATTGGCCAGCAAACTCTCCTGACCTTAACCCCATAGAAAATCTATGGGGTATTGTGAAGAAGAAAATGCAATACACCAGACCCAACAATTCAGAAGAGCTAAAAGCCACTATTAGAGCAACCTGGGCTATCATAACACCTGAGCAGTGCCACAGACTGATCGACTCCATGCCACGCCGCATTGCTGCAGTAATACAGGCCAAAGGAGGCCCAACTAAATACTGAGTGCTGTACATGCTCATACTTTTCATGTTCATACTTTTCAGTTGGCCAACATTTCTATAAATCCTTTGTTTTTATTGGTCTTCAGTAATATTCTAATTTTCTGATATGATGAATTTGAGATTTTCATTTGTTGTCATTTGTAATCATCAAAATTAAACAAAATAAACATCTGAAATATATGAGTTTGTATGTAATTTATGAATATAATATACAAGTTTCACTTTTTAAATGGAATTACTGAAATCAATCTACTTTTTCATGATATTCTAATTTTATGACCAGCACCTGTACTTGTCCTCATTTAACCATTAAAGCACTTGTGGCATAACCATTAGAAACTTTAAATATTCCAGTGAAAATAAAGTGCACAATTAAAAACAGACAAAGTGGTTTTATTCAAAATATTATGCATTCATTCATCCCAAGTTTCCCTATGTGCAAAAGCCAGCAGAGACAATGGCGAGACCTGTTCAGTGCATTTTTTATCTCTTGCTGCAAATGCACTCGAACAAGATGAGCAAGACATCGTCAAAGCAGAAACCGAGTGCGCTACAAAACAGCGTGGAGTAGCTCTGAAAGCTCCCATCATGTGAGCTACTTTTAAAACCTCATGTTTTATCAGTAATCATCCAGGTCCTCGTCCAGGTCAGAGAAGTCGATGGACGGCCGGCTGTCCTGCCCCTCCTCGTCGCTTTCTCCGCTTGGAGCTGCAATTCAGAAACATTGAGTTAAAACCGTGTAGCCGACATTTCCACACATCATTTTAGAGGTTGTTTTTTTTATCCCCCACGGCAACAACAACAAACGCTAAACTTAATAACATTACAGGATTTCTGCAAGAGATGAGGAGCGGGTAACATACTTTCAAGACTGTCCATGTGTTCAAGAATATTCACCAGGCAGAATAACTGATGAGAAAGGAAAGATTATTTGTAGTCGGACACAAGGTGAAATATTTTACATTCTAAGTGTGCATCTGTTAAACGACTAATGCACACCGAGCAAACACAGCAAATCTCGTGATGCGTGTGGGCCAATCCCAAAAAAAAAATAAACGATAAAAGGTTTCTCTTAGCGAGCAGAAAGAAAAATGATTTAATCCAACGGGTGAATGCGAGTTTCCTCACCCTGGCTGTGTCCACCTCTCTGAGGACATCTGAGAAGCGCTGCTCACAGAACTGCAGAAGCACCACCAGGTAGAAGCCGCTGCTGATGAACTCCTCAAATCTCGACTGTGGAGAATGAAAAGAACATAACTGTTTGCTTTTTTTTTTCTTTCAAAAACAAAAAACAAAAATAAATGAATGTGATTAGATTTAAAGCAGAAAATACTCTTTAGTTCTTTACATTAAATCATCCAGGTTTAACAGTGAGCTGGTCATTTCGTTTCTCACTGCAGCTACAACGACCCACCTGGACGTGAGTCTTGTACAACTCTTGAACGTCAAAGTTCTCGATGTTCAAGCGCAGTTTCTCCTTGCAGAGCTCGCATGTAGTGATTGCTTCAAGGTTGCTTCCTGGGAGAGAAAATTTGACTTTAATAGGCATCAATAGCAAATCATTTGTAATAAAATATTAACAGAGTTTTAACAAGTGAAGAGGAATGAAGGTATCTGAAAGCTTTCAAAATAAAATAAAAAAAAGTGACAGAGGCTACTAAAAGGTCTGCAGAGGCATTTCTGTTATTTGTTAAAGGCCTGAGGATTTCACATTTTAGGAAAGTTTCACAAAGCTGAATTTAAGAAAATTCTTCTTTTCTTCAAACACGGAGCCATAAAGGGATTCTGTAAGAAACTTCATTCACCTTCCTGTGGATAGTCAGTGACATTCATAGTAATTGCTCCGATTGAAAGTAACCCCACTGAATAAAAACAAGTTTAATTGAGTTTTTACTTGAGCTGTTATGCAGCTGAAGGATCAGGGCTTAAACCCTGAGCATCTGAAAAGCAGAGCAGTGAACTCCCCGATGCAGACGACACGCTCGGTCTGAAAGCACCTTTAGACTACGCTTCAAGGTTGGCTCAGAAGAAAAAAAAAAAATGGGTTTGGAAAAGTCTTTCTGCTTGGATTTGTTATCTTGGAACCTTTTATTTCAGTCTTAAATAATCAAGAATTTCCACCTGGCTTTTTGTTTTTGTCAGATTATTTTGTTTTTAAATACAATCATAAAGCAGTTAAAGAAATGTTGCAGCTTTTATTGTGTATTTGAGGAAGGATTACCCGGGTGAAAGAAATAAAAAACTTACTAACATAAAGTCTTGTTAACATGAATTTGAATAAGCTTTACATAGTTCAACTTTAAAATGTAAAACTTTTTAACCAAACCTGTGGAAACCTTGCAAGCAAAACATAAGCTAATTCGTTTTTTCCAACAATATTGCGGTTTAACACATTAGAAAGTTGGTTTTAAATATGTCCTTTTTTTTGGCTTGCTGTAATTCCTTTAAATATTCTCTTGCCTAGTCCAGATAGGGGGGAGACATACCTGAGCTGATTTTGGAGTTAAGCCACCTCTTGATGCATTCTTGGTGGACGTACTGCAGGCTGCCTGTACAGCTGCACGGCTGGATCAGGGGGTTGGTAGAGGACTCCTCCTGCATCTGACAGATTCGGCACAGGTCTCCTTCCTCCTCTTCAGAGTCCTCCATTAACAGTCTGCAGCAGCAAAAGGAGGGAAAAACAAACCAAAAAGACATTTGTGCTGTAACAGTTCATCTAGATCCAGAAACCAGTAAAGATGAACAAACAGGGAAATATAACCAAAGATGAGAAGTAGTGGGAGCTCATGTTTCGTTACTTTTCTTTGATCCTGCGCAGCTTCTCCTGATCCCTGCTGCAGAGACTCTTTTCCTCCTGGCCCTCCAGCTGCCTCTCAGCTCGGCCCTCAGGGGCCACAATGTTCTCCAGCACTCCTAGCCTGCGGCGGGGTGAGAACACAGCTTCCAGCTCAGGCAATGCTTCGTCCTCTATTCTATCAGCGTAAGAGTCAGCAAAAGCATCCAAAGCAAAGGCCCCTTCTTCCTCCTCCTCTTCATCATCATCATCATCTTCCTCCTCATCCTCATCATCTTGCAAGGCTTTATGATCGAGGTCATCCCACCTGCTGAGTAAATGTGGACGGCCGTAGCCTTCCTCTGAGCGGGAGGCTGCCTGCGCGCCATCTTCTCTTGCATATCTCCTGAGGCGAGACAGCAGAGGAGGGCAGCGGCCACGGAGGGAGGAAAGGAACCAGGATGAGCTCCTCCCTCCTGCTCCGCTGCTTGCAGAGGACTCTCTCAGAGGAGCCATTCTGGGCCGGGCTGGGCCCATATGACCCGTATTGTTTTCCTGAATAGGAGGGAGGCTGGTTCTATGACTCCTGAGGCCATCTGAGGCTTCCGCTGCTCCGCTGATATCAAGGTCCCTGCCAACCGTCCCCGCTCCCTCGTCGCTGTCCACGGACTCCCCGCTAGTTGATGGAGTGTCATCCTCTAGTGAACGAACGCTGGACAAGCCGCTGGACGAGTCCTGGCTGGAGCAGCGAGAAAAGAGACGAGACAACAGGCGCCGCGTGGAGCTGCGCCCCCCCAGCTCTCCACTTTCGTCTAACGGCCGTGGGAGGGTGGGCTCTGGTCTGCTCAGGGGGGTGGGATTCCAGGAGTTGTGGGAGGAGTGGGGAGGGGAAACGCATGGTTCTGGGTTTCGGGCTTGTTCCTGAGTGGAGCGGAGAGAGGATGAGGCAGTGGAGTAACAAGCAGCGTTTCTGCTGCCCAGGTCATGGAGGCGCAATGGCGTCTGCTGAGAGGCAGAGGACGAGGCATGGCGGCTCAGAGAGCTCTGCCTTGATGCAGAGAAGGAGGTAGTTTCTTTGGGTCGAGCTCCTTGTGCATATGTGGACATCACCCTATCTGTTTGGTCTAATAGAAGAGAAAGAAGGAATAAACTACATGAGTTTAACATCACGTTTAAATATCTGAAAGCTTTTCACAAACGAGGAGGACCTACACAGTGAGGAGACCAGCCCAGGAGTCCTGCCCCTCCTTTCTCCAAGACCTGAGAGGCTGGGCTCAGCCTTTGGCTCCAGTTCTCTGGAGGACGACAGCGGCTTTGAAGAAGAGGGGGACGGTCTAGAAAGTAAACGATACGAACTCCATGATGAATCCACCAAGTCACCTGCAACAGCTGGAAACAAATTAATTACTTTAGTTAGTTTCCATCTAAAAGTCGGTTAAAAATTAATGAGATGATTCAATCTGTTCTGGACTAAACATGAATCCTATTATAGATAAAATGGAAATCTTATTTCCCTACAAAAGTCAGTCCATAAAGATTTGCTGCGGATCCCGATATGAAGCGTGTCAGAACATCTCTTCTCCTCTACATAAAAGAATCAAAGCAGGAGGAAAACCTCCAGTAACACTGGATCAATAGTTTACGTTATAACAAACCTCTGCCACTGCTGAGAACATTACTGGAATAGGTGGATCCTGTAACTGCAGTGCTGGGCGTTTTTGTGTAAAGTCGATTGCTGTAAGACAGTTTGGCCCTTTTCGATTCTGCATCGTCGCTGGAATTCAGTAAACCTGAGCAAACTCCTGATCTCCCCTCAGAATCAGTCTGAGAAAAAAAATAGAAGAAAATCGCAGAGGTTTAAAAGGCTGTTCTTTAAAGACGTTAACAGGTCTGACGGGTGACCCCCGAAGAGGAAAGCTTCAGTACCGCTTTGCTTCTACTGCTGAGAGCCGATTCAGCCCAGGGGCGGTCGTACGATCTGCCAGAGGATGACAAAGAAGGCAGCTTCCAGCTGGGGGAGCGAGTGTCAGAGCTGCTGTAATCTCTTGACGAGCTCAAAAGGCGAGAACTCTTTAGAAGAAGATGACAGATCAACAGTTAGCATCCAAGCATTACTCCTGTGAAGCCTTCCTCTTTATAAATACATGCATGCAATACCCTAGACTCAAAAAGCATGAAAATTCACTGCATCATATTAAAAATGCCCAAAGCTTCACATAATGCTTAATATTTTTAGATTCTATATACTAGCAGTTCAGTAAGAGGGACAAAGGGCAGTTTTATTTTTGATTGACAAAATCACACTAAAATCTTTTATTGTGGATTCCTCATTCATTTTCTAACAGGAGACTAAATCCGTACTGGTGTTAATATTTACGTAAAATGAACTAACAAGAATCAGTACAAACAAAATGTGCTTTGCTACATCGGTTCTCCGTACCTTTAATGTTCTAGAAAGAACAGGAACAAATCAAGGCTCCGGGGGGAAAAAAAGTTAACACCGTCTTCTGACAGGCAGGACTGAAATACACACATGGAATCTAGGCTGTCCTAAAAAAAGACCCCTGGAGTGTTGGCTGGTGTGCCACTGACACACAGAGTCAGCTACTGTATCATGCAGCAAGGGGACACTGTAAGGAAAGAGCTCCTTTAAATGCTCAGTCTTAGGAGAAAGAAAAAAAACCAAAGCACACAAAAAAATACCTTTTCAGATAGAAAGGCAAACTAAAAAGGGCAGTGATTGCTCATCACAGCTTAGAAAGGGAATCATTAAGAGCAAGTAAAATCCAATTAGATTAATGGTTACTTTAAATGACACGTTTTCTATTTAAACATAAATCAGTTAAAGACAGGCTTTGTATTTTAAATGTAATGTAAGAAAGTGTGTTTCACACATGCTCTACCCGTTTATCTGCATCCGCTCTGTAGGGCGATGATACTCTTGGGAAGCGGTAATCTTTCAGCACCGGTTCCCTGTCGTAGCGGCGACTGGAGCCCAGCGGCGTGGAGACGGTGGGAGTGAAGGCATAGGAGGATCTGGAGCTGGACATAGAAAACGGAAGTCTCCGAGACCTGGAGTCCATCACGGCTCGGCCTGAACATCAGAAAATCAAGATCAGAACTCAAAAGGATATTCAAAAATATCTACCAAAGACTCCTAAATGCATTGATGACTAGCTGGGGTTTGGTACCAGGTTTGTTGACTGGATAATGTGATAATGTCTGTAAACACTGAAACCAGCCACCATGTTACTTCCTAGATCTCATATCAAGAAGTGACTTTGCCTATCTTTAGGACAATGAACTTTGGCACAGGGTCATGACACCAACAGTTAGATAACAGAGTATGCAAGCAGGATTCTATTTACCAACAACTAAATCACCAGACCACTAATGCATAGGTGGAATGATGACCCGACAACATCTGTTTTTATGTTTACATAGGAGTCATATGCAGCAGCAATGCAAAAGGCTCCTTAAAAGCTCTTTGCATAAGGCGATAGAATCAGAGTTTCTCCCTGATCGTGATATGGATATGTGGATATTAAGTTTGCCCACCTGTGCTAAATATAACTCAGCTGGGCAGAAGATTGGAACACCTTAAACGAGGGGAAGCAAGTAGAGCAAGACGAATATTTACTATTTAATATTAATATTCATAAGTAAATATATTGAAACACGCCGCTGCTAACAACAAAAAGCTTTAACTGATTCTAAGAATTCCCCAAATATGCGTTTATAAAATATCATTTGGACTGCTAGCAGTGTTAGGCTAAACAGCTTCATTAAAATTTCACAGTTGTACCCGGATCTCGTTAAAAAAACAGTGATTTTGACGTGATATTTTAATAACCTTCATGCAGGATTGAAACACCACGCTGTAACACATCTTCATGCAAGGCATAAATTAAGCTTACACCATTTTAAGCTTTGATAGATGATTCCGTTAAGTCAGGTAAGGGCTTCCTGCTTTACCCTGGTGTCGTTTGTTAGCAGTTTTATTTTTTTTTTTTGTTAAAATCCATAGCGCTAATTAAACCGGGATAGTAGCTGGCTTCACTTCCAGAGAGAGACAGACTGAAGAAAAAGATGACCTACTTCAGTTTCTGTCGGAGCTATCATTACATTCAAGTTCAGTTCGGAGGTTTTAACAGAAATAACAGTCATAGCTCGGTTAGCTTCCTTCCGCTGTGACATTTTAACGGTAAAACTCAACGTTCACATAAAACGCCGAACTTTATTCCTTATAAATAATTCTTAGCCCTAAATGTAAAGGTGCTTGTATAAAACAAAAAGCGAGGAATCATTTAAATGTTCTCACCACGTCTTTAAGCTCTTCCTTGTTTTGCACAACAGGAACTATGGCGTCCTGATCCGTGAGCCGTTGACGTAACGCCCTGGTGGGAGGGACTTAAATGGATTCACCTTTTGGGGATTTGGCGCCACCCAGTGGTAAGGGCTGTGAAGCAGAGGCCAATATTTTCTCAAAATAAAAAAGGAACAAACGAATAATGCTGTTAGTTTAAAGAAAAACTGGAGAAGCTACGATATTAACCCTTTATAGGGAAATCAGTGAAATCCAAGTCCACGTTTAAAGCCAATAGTGTTATTGGAATCTAGGGCAAGACCTTATTACCTTTGTAACATTTGGTGATGGCAAAAATGAATGTCTGTGTAATAACAAGAAACACCAACTTCCCTGAATATATTACGAAAAATAACAAAAATAAGTGCTAAGAAATTAATGAAAAACACTCACAGGGAAAGAGACTTTTTTTTTTTTGGTACAACATAACCTTAGAGGCATTAATGCTGATACTGACACTTACATTTTTTAGTTTATAAACATAAATATAATTGTTAACTAGGTTATTAATTTTTTAACTTTACTTTTTAACTTTTTAGTTTTACCTTTTTTTTTTACTTTTTAACTTTTTACCTTTTTTTCAACTTAATTTGCAGTAGATAATATATCATCCAAGGGCTCATCTAATTGGTCAAATGTCAAAATAAGATGTACAGCCATGTAGAAGTGTCTTTGCTGAATGGCTGGATATAGATCTTGTGTTTCTAGACCTCCCTCAGGTCTAGACCTCCCTCCATTTGTAAGTGATCAGAAATGGTAACTTGCCCTATTAACGGATAGCTTGCTTTCTTTCCCAATACTTCTGTCCTTTTGTGTTTTATTTTAATCTTTTCAAGATATTGCATTTTCTTAACATATTTACAGCAATGGATGACATATTTCAACACGTCTTCCTGATCAGTTTCCTGTTTACTAAATAGTGTGACCAAACCTATCCTTCCCCACCTCTTATAAACGTTTTTTCTCTTTTTTATCCCCTCCTCCCCTTGTTTTTACCTTCTGTTTTGATGTTAATTTCCACAGAAAGAGCTACTGCCTGCCCCATCCTTTGCCTTTTATCTGCTGTATCTCCAGAAACATTTCTGTACCACCTTCTGAAGTTATGAAAAAAAAAATATTTACCGGTACTTGAATTATTTACTTCTTGAAATATTGTTAGCTTTGTCCATGTGTACACGGATTGTTAAATGTAAAATAATAAATGCTATTCCCATTTTGTCATCTGACATAATGCATCTGGTTGGATCTCAAAATTATGATAGCTATTAATATAATTCTGTATACTTTGAAAATCTTAACTAAACTGCCTTTTGATTGTCAGATTCAATGCAGACTTTAAAAGTACAGTATTTAGCTAATCTGAGGTTTTGTGTTATTGGATGTTATTTGAATCGGGAAGTGAGCGTTAACTTTACTTGAATGTCACAAACAAAAAATTAACAAAACAAAATTCGAAAAACAAATTTTCTCTCACAAAATTAGAGACAACTTTTTCTCAAACTTTTTCCCCACCGACACCTCAAAACCTCTTGAGAAGGCTCAAGAGGTTTTGAGGTGAAGACTCAGCCATGTTGAAAGTGAGTCAGCAGTGCTATCTGGTGAGCTGGAGAGAAACTGTTTGTTGCAAATGCACAACTAAGTCCTTCTGTTGTACTTCTGAGTAACAAAAGCTCTTAAAATATGGATGTGGAGTAATTAGCTAGGTGGCATTTAGCCATTGTAAATCTGCAACATCTGCCTGGAGAGGGTTATGTTGTTGTTATTAAACAAAAAATAATAAACATATCTATATAAAAATAATAATAATAATAAATCACCCAAAAGAAATACAAAAAAAGTTGTTTTTTAACATTTATGCGTCCTTGGTTTGGACAGTTTTATGATGCCATTCACTTTATCTTCATTGTTTCTACTTCCAGGCTGAGTATAGCAATGCCGTCATGTGGTTCTAAAAGGAATTGACTCTTCTTTTCCCTGGTTCCTAAACTCAGTGGTTATAGATACTTTCTAACCTAAAAGAATAGAAACACTTTTTTTAGAAATGCACTCAATTTGATTAGATTCAATTCAGTTTATTTATATAGCGCCAATTTACAACACATGTCATCTCAAGGCACTTTAGAGACAATTCAATCAGATCATTCAGTCAAATTGATTTAAATAAAGATTAGAATAATGTTTCACATATTACCGAGAATGAGCCAACAGAGAATTCATTAGATTTTCCACACACAGACAAACCAAAACTGTAGGTTTGCACCAAAGTTCATTATCTGTAAAAGAAACAGTACAAATATTTAATGCACAGCCCAGAAAGCAGATATATTCATGCTATTTTTTTTACAAGCAAGTAGTTAGCAGGAAACTACATTGAGCTGCCTAATTTTAAATGTTGCAGAAGAGCCATTTCGAGTCAGAGGAGCAGATCTATGGATGTAGTGGATCTACTTTTAACTAAATATACTTTCATGCAAGTTAAAAATTTTACAAGATCTGATATCTACAAAGTCTCTAAAAAAAATGTAGGATTTTATCCCACCATTATACTTGGACTGTACAACACATTTCCCATTTAGAGTTGCTTATTACTTTACTTTTATAAGTCAGAAAATGTTATTAATGCTCTGCTTTTACTTTGACTCAACCAGTTTCCCACTTTCGTAGTATATAATTAAATACATTAAGTTTTGGGGTTTCATCATTATTGTCGATCGCGATAAAAAAAAAGATTAAATTGAGTATATTTTGCAAATTAGGCACACAATGACTCGACAGTCATCTATAAAACCACACTACAAACATGTTTGAAATCACAAAGCAGGGATTGTGCACACATGATGTTTTATCTGACCATTTTTATATACATTTACATGGTTCAGTCACATTTGCTGGTTATTCTAGCGGGTTTAATCATACTTTAAAAAGGTGGCCTGTGCCTGTAGTATTGTCACATAAGGGTTGTGGGAGTGCATACAGCTCTTAAGGAGATAGGTACATCAGGAGATCCCTGAGTGTCTATCCTAAGCATCCAGCATCCACGTCATAAACAGCATTTATAACAGGCGCACATCAGACACACATATGCTTTGCCTTAAGAATTGTTACCAATGTGATCAATTTAGATGGACCCACTGGCTCAATTGTAGCTCCTACGTCCTGTTTCCTAGCTCCTATACCTTCACCTTCTATAATGTCATTTATAAAAACACTATCCATGGCAGCTATCATTGGTCTTCATGATGCAGTCTGCTCCAGACTGTTGTGCTGAATCTAGGCAGCCTTCAGTCTTACGGATGTGACAAAGCAGACATACACATGAATGGCACTGGATTACAGCCTTCAGGATAAGAACTACATAAAATAAGACTCACACAAATTTAGTGAACAGCTGCAGCTGTCCATTATAAAACTCAAAACATATGAAGGCGAGGGCATAAGCACATGTCACACAGGTTTTATCACAAAGTAATGATTTTTTATTAAACTCAGTGGCATTGGCTGTGCCTATAAGGTCTGTCATGCAAAGGATGCTGCTGGGTACATCAGAAGGTCCCTCTGCTAAATCAGGCATCCCCAACCTCGGTCCTCGAGGCCCACTGTCCTGCAGGTTTTATAGGTTTCCCTGCTTTAAAACAGCTGATTATAATGATTGCAGTAGACCAAAAGCATGTTAATCAGCTTGCAATTAAAATCAGCTGTGCTGGAGCAAGGAAACCTCTAAAACCTGCAGGACAGTGGCCCTAGAGGACTAAGGCTGGGGATGCCTGTGCTAAATGATTGGATGCTAGGAAGCATACCACTTCCTGCTCCTAGCTCCTTCCTAACTGCCAGCACTATTTGTCTACATTTATTATGTCAATCATGGCTTCTGACGTGGCTTAGATGTCCTTACCAATTTGAGGTATTCGGATTGAGCCACTGTTCCCTGTACGCATTCCATCCTCTTCATGTGTTGTTGGAGGTTGACATAACCCTTAAGAGTATCGCCGCTGCCGGCTCCTGTTTTAAAATTGACCTGCCCGATCCAAAAGTAGAGCATTATGTTCAGATTGGAAGCTACATACTTCTGAGGGTTATGCAGACACATCAATGTATATCACAGCCATACCAAGAAATCAAACGAAATGTGCAACTTGTATGGTTTCAAAACTAAAGTGGCAAATCACATATAAAAACAAGAACATTGAATTCAAATTATACTTTTGATTAATTGAACAGCACATTAAATTAGACTTATCTGAAAAATCACATCAGTAAATGAAATTCAAAGTTTACTAAAAGATACTTCTAATTTTTAAAAATATGATTAAAGCCTTCTTTATATCTTTTTAAATTAAGTTAAGAACAAAACAAATTATCTCTCTATACGCTTCTCGAAAGTTATTGAACATGCTTTATTGTAACTAAAGTAATATATTTAACCAGTGTTAACAGTAAAACAAAATCAATAAAATAAGAATTCGGAATAAAATAATTATATAGATCATGCTTGTCTGTATCAAAATATCAATCTGCAGACTAGAGGACAGGATTCCTTCTCCTCTAACTCATCTACCTATACATCTACATCCTAAATTCAAAATGTGACCTATTTAATGATTCACCATCTAGTTCATTTGATAATTGCTTGAACAACACATTAACAACAAACCACTTTCTTCTTGTCATATTCATATTCAACAGTAACCTGATTATTTACTTATAGTTGCCATGGTTCTCCCCTTTTGGAAATCTGAGTTTTTATTTTTCAATTATCAGTTGTTCTGTTTTGTTAAACTTTGGTTTATTTTCCATTATTCTAGCAGTCTTTAGTCACTCTCTGTTGCCCCCTTGTGCATGTTTCCTTTCCTCTTGGCCTCTTTCTAGTTGCTTCCACTCACACCTGCTCCTTATTCAGCTCAATAGCCCATCCTTTGTTCCATTCCCCTTATAAACTCCACCTCTGCAGTCACTCAGTGCTGGATCCTTGTTGTCGTCTTTTGTTCCCTTGTCTCTGGCTTCCCACGAGAGTTTCCCCCTAAAGTTTCCTGTTTTTTTGGTACTTAGTATTTTGGATTTTTGGTTGTTTGCCTCTGTTCTTCATTAAATCTACA